ACACAAAATACCCATTTAATAGGTTGGCTTTTTCCTGGGCCTCAGTTGTCAGTTGCCCCATCTGGTTCAGCAGGGGTCCAATGTTGACCTTGCTTTTCCTCCGGCACCCCACATATCTGAAAAAGGACTTTTAATTGTCCTTGAGACTCCCCTCATTTCATTCTAGCCTCTTCACTGTCATTCTGCACACGTCAAGCCTGGAAATGAGACCATGAAGCTGTCCTGGGGAGGGTCCCTCACACTTTTTATGCACCCTGGAAATAGAGTTTGGGACATGCAGTAGGGAGGCACCCTTATGGCAGTTGTACTCCCTCAGTTCCTGATTTGGCATGTGTGGTGTGGAGCTTTGCTTCTCAGCAGTCACAAGGTCACAATCGCCAGCACCTTGCTAAATTCAAACTGCATGTTTTCCTCTTTGAGATGTGCATCTTTTGATCTTTGGTTTCATTAGACTTATATATTTCCAATATACTTTACTGATAGGGCTGTTTCTGTGTCACAAAGGGCACAACTGGAACATGTAATGAGCCCAAATGGAAAACATGTCAGAAGTTTTCTAAGCCACATCATAGAAGTTAATCTGACAAACTCAGTAAAACAGCACTTTGCAATATTGATCCTCATTATGTAGAAAACTTAGAATAGTGTTTATAGTTTAAAGCATAGTTAAGGCTTTGTGAAGCCCTTTTTCCTTATAGCAAATTGTTTTGAACAAATTGAGCTTTCTTTAAGGGTGTAATCAGAATATCTTGGAACCTAACAAATGACAAATGAGACTAAGTCTGTGTTGAATACCGAGAACTGAAATTAGCATTTGCGTTTTTATACACTAAAATCAAAGTGAAAAATAAAACACTCCCCCCCGCCCCTCCCAAAATCTATACTCTATGATATGGTCAATGCTGCCTATGTTGCCTGGTGCACTTAGCTTCTTATATTTAACTTGCCAAAAGGCTGAAATAGGCAACTGTAGTACAGCCACACTGAAAGTGGTTAAGAATGTTAAAAACCATTAGCTAATTTCTATTATTCATACCCTATCACAATTGTAGGGATCTTACAGGCCTGGAACACTGAAGTGCAAAGAGAAAGACAAAGGGGGAGAAGTCAGGGGAGAGAGTTAGAGAAAAGAAGGAGAATGTAGAAGTGTAGACCTACCGTTTAGTGCATTGGCTAGGTGTATTTAGATGTGCATCCCGCAATCGGTAAATTCCAAAGCAAAGCATATTGTATGTTTTCAACGCTTTACAAAACAGGTCTCCATAACAACCACCATCCTAGGAGAGACAAAAAAGAGGAAATTAAGCTTATATGCTGAGGACATTATTTCTAACTTTATCTGGTAACTTAATAAATGGAAAGATATAAATCTGGGAAACAGGAAATGCCTTTTATTTGAAATGGGAAACCTTGGGGACAGACTATGTACTATACAAATTAAGAAAAATATAATCTCTGCAAACTGCTGATTAAAAAAAATGACTTTTCAACTTCTTCTCCTCTTATTCCTACTTTTTCCCCAGGGGTCCTATTCTGAAAGTACCTGTATTTTTGAAGTCATCACCTTGACCCAAACCATCACAGTGGTGACAGTGCAGGAAGAAGCTTACAAAAGTCATAAGGTGTAGATGATAGGCATGATGGAGGGTGAAGAATGTATTTTCCAACTGTTAATATTTCTCAGTGGTTAACATGTTGAAAACATTGCTGGTATTTTCATAAGTAACCTGAGAGCGATTCAGGTTAGTTATCAATTTACTGTTAGGCCAGATATAAACCCTTGGTGCTTAAATGCAAAAGGGCAGGTCTAAGCCACCACCACTAACTGACACTCTCCAGGTGAGGTACTAGCATAGAGAAAGAGACATTATTTACCAGTCATCATTAGCATAGAGGAAGAGACATTATTTACCAGTAACTGGAGTGCTCCAAGAGGTCTTGTCCCATGGGCCAGATCTGGCCCGAGAAGGGATTTTGTCTGCTCTTCAGTGGTTCTGAAATGCCGGAGGCAGCCTGGGCTGTGGTGTGTGCAGCTGGTCCCACCACAAGGCTGGGGCAGCGCAGGATCCAGACTGAGCTTTCTGGCAGCCCCAGCTGCAGTGGCTCCTTTTGGCTGCCACTGCCAGTGTCACCGCTGCTGCCAGACCCACCCCGCTGACTGGGCACCATGGCCCATCCACCCTGAATCCACCACCAGGGGTGCTGGATGCAGAGCGTGGGCAAGATCTCCATGGAGACCAGCCAGGACCCATGCACATAGCAGGTAGATTGGATGCAGGTGGGTGAGAAGCAGAGTTCAGGGGTCAGCGGGGCCAGGGCCAGGCGTGGGATTGGGATCACAGGGCAATGACAGCGTGGGGCCAAGGTCTGGGGCAGAGCTACAATCAGAGGGCAGGCCATCCCAATCCCAGTCCAGCCCTGGCCCCAGCCCCGCCCACCTGTCCCACACCCAGACACTGCTCCCCATCTACTTGAAGCCCCATCTCTTCCACCCAGCCATGTGCCCTGCCCACGCAAGTCCCAGCTGGTCTCCATCAGCTGCATCAGCGCACGTGGCAGGGGCAATGGGAAGTGGATTGAGGCTCTACACTGGGCCCCAGCCCCACAGTGTCACCACCTAGTGATCCTGATCTCAGTCCTGGTCTTGGCCCCTCTGGAGTGGCAGGGGCTTAGCTGCATTTTCCCCCTGCCTGCGCTGGTCAGTCCCGAGCGGCACATGGCTCCGCTGCTGCTTCTGCTGGCGGGTGCCAACCCAGCCGGGCTCCTCCCATTCCCAGCAGCTTGTGGGAATCCAGCTTCAGCTGTGTGCTGCTCCAGATGGGACAGACCCACCTGGGTCGGCACCAGCCAGCAGAGGCAGTGGCAATGGAGACGTGTGCTGCTCGGGACTGACCAGCACAGGTAGGGGGAAAGTGCAGTTGAGCCCCTGCTGCTCTGGCTGGACTCATCCTGTCCTGAGCAGCACATGGCTACTCCTCTTCCCACACGTTGGCAACAGCAAGCAGCCGTGGTGCATGTGGGAACCTTGTCCCTTCCCCAGCCCTTCAGCAGCCATTAGGAAGCTGCTGAGGGGCTGGGGGACGGACAAGGGATGGGAACGAAAGTAAACAGTGTTTACTTTTGTTTCCTGTCGCAGCACCATGGGCCACAGAAAATGTCTTGGCGAGCCACATGTTGGACAAGCCTAACCTAGAGTATCCCCCAAGAAGACACTTGGAGAACTGAGTGTCACCAGTTCTGAATTTGGTAATTCAAATATGCTCTGAGGATCCTAAAAAGTGGACAGTGGCCCATGCTACAGTGTCATCCTAGTGCCCTTTTCTGAATCTGTTCTAGTTTACATAAATCATTTGGAAACACAGGTGACCAGAAGTGGGGTCTTATTAAAGTCTTGGATAGTAAGAGTAGTACTTCCTTTACTCTCTTTAAAAGCCCCACCTAATATGCCAGACAATTAATTTGTTCTTTTTTCCCCCACAGATGCACCATGGTGTGCTACACATGGGAAGTGCTACACATGCAGGTTTTGCAATGTTCGTGGTCACTCTAACAGTGAGTGATAAAACTGGTCTCTCTCTTCCTCCATCCCAAGAGCCTCTATCTTATTGAAATTATTCTTGAGTCCCCAAATCATGACTTTACACCTTGTACTGTTATATTTTATTGAATTTCTATTACTACACTCCATAACATTATCTCATTCTTCCTGTACAATAATCCAAAGCAAGTTAGATGGATAGAGGGAGGAGAAAAAGGCAGTGATCCCCAGAAGCTCGCCCCATCTGAAACCTTAATCCAGAGTCTCTCTGATTTGGTGGATTAAGCATAGACAGATGGCCCAGGTGAATCTATGAGGTAGAGGCAAGATGATCTTTCCTCAGAACTGTGTAAGGACTGACAGCCCTGAGGCTTGAATGCCCGTATTGGAATGGCCAAAAAATAATCCTAGGGTTACTGAGGAAGGAATGATGAGACCTGGAAGGGCTGGCTTGAGCCCCAGGTCTCTTCTGTAAGAGAACTCAGGCTGAATCATGTTTCTTCATCACGCAGGGAGGAAGATTCTTGCAGTCTACCCTCTATAAGATGACTGGAGTACTGGAAGTGGAAGTGACAGTAGAGCAGTTGTGTTGCCAGTGCCAGTGTATGATGCATGGCAAGGAGTGGAAGCTAGTTCCAGAAAGTTTGCTCAGTCTAAGAAAGAGAGAGGCAGCTGTGAGGACACTAGAATCAAAGATTAATCAGGATCATCATCTAAGTTCTTGGTTCCCTCTAGCTGGAACAAGCCTGAATGAGGGTTTTAAAAGTTCAACTGGAAGTAAGCATCAAGACTGCAGAGATGTTCTTTTTCAAAGGAGATGACACTGAGGAATGCCTAGGACTCAAAAGAGCCCAAAGGATAGGACTGGAACGATAGGGCACCTATACATATACTCCAGTGTGTTGAGGGCTGACCTAATTAAGCAGAGCTGCTTTAATTAAAATGCCTGCAGCATCTTGTGTATTCAATGTCCCACATTTCAAAACGGTGGTGGGGGCCCACTGTCCTTTTGAAATGTGGGATGCTGAATACATGAGACGCTGCAGCAATCTAGAGCGTTCTGATTAAAACACTCCAGCAGACTAGATAATCGAATCTGCTCCAACACGTTCTAATTAGCGTGCATCACAGTACTGTAGAAGTGCCCATAGTGCCAGAATTTCAGTGATCTTTAACAGGATCTGTGTGGGATCTGGAAATCTTGGATCAGAAGGAATTAAGTCTTTCTGATCCAAGTCCTTGTCCAGCCCTGAGTTGAGGACTGCCTTTGGATCCAGTCTCACGTGTGATTCACTACAGTTTCTCCAGTGCTGATGAGGTAGAAGGTCAAGACCTGCTTTCCCACTCTTCCCTATCCTGGGAGATAAAAAACCTGCATGTGTAGCACTTCTCAAACAATATGGGACTCTCCCAAAGAGTAAAGGTGTTGCGCGTGCAAGCAGGACATATGCAGGACACTGTCTTAGGATGGATGTAACTTGAGAGGTGGATGAAGCCATGATGGTGGTTTGCTGAGAGAACTCAAAAATAAAGGACAAAGCACAAGTTCTATCTTCTCCTTTGCCCAAAGGAAAGGAGGGGAGAGAGGTTGGAAAGGGATTACATAAGTGGAAAACAAATCCCCAGTGAAGTCAGAGAGATGACAAGATCATAAAGAGTACACTGTTTATTAAGCAAGCCAGAGAGAGAAAAAAAAAAGAAAGAAAAAAACGATAATGGAAAGTCTTCAAAAGAAAAATTAAAAAGAATCTGCAAGCCACATGCAAAACAAGATGACAAGACAGTGATTCATTTTGAGCCAAGGTGATTAGGCGAACTAATGAATGGGAGCATGTGATACCTTTTACATAATTGGTGCAGGGTACAATGAAAGTTGGACACTGGGTGTGCCATACACATATCTGTTGGCAACCTGAAATCTCTGAGCTCAAGCACTGATGGCACATGCACTTTGCAAAGACAATGTTTTGAAGGAAAAACAAGGCTGGATTCAGAAAAACTTCTCCATCCATTAGATCCACAATTAGCAAGTTTGCATGTCTATCATTCTTGGTAGGGGACTGAAAATATCAGGAAAGGGGGTTCTCATGTGACATTTAGCACATGTGGATTGTGGTAAGTCTGGAAACAAAGCACATTCTCCTTTCTTGCTACATTACCAGGCTTATGACAAAAGCCATAAGTCCAGGAGCACCATACAGTTTAAAAAAAAAAAAAAGGTAATTGGAAAAATAGAGTAACTGTTTTCCCTTGTGGCAAATAAACCTACCAAATGTCAACCAAGATTCAGGTTCAAGGCACCTTGAAAATGAGGATATGGGGCAAATTCTTCTCATACTTATATCAGCTCACCCATCCCTTTGGATGCGCTTTTTAACTTAGTCAGCCCCACTGTGGCATAGTTCTGGAAAATTTAGCAGACAGAGTGGGGAGACCCAGAAACTTCACCTTAGAGGCACTTTCCCTTTTTACTTCCAGCAGCACCTGGAGAGTGTAGGACTGTGGGTCCTGATAGAGCTTCTTCACCGGAGAAGGACAATTTTGATACCAGAAATGGCAAAGTATTGTTAGACCTGTTAAAAATGTTCAATGGGCTTTAGGTCTTTGAAGGGAAAGTTACAAAAAGGAAATGCTATCCTTACAGGCAAACATTTAAAAAAATCCTCTCACAGGAGACAAAATGATTATAGAATGGGGTGAGTACAGTGTTTATGCTGTAAATGATTAAAGCAAAGCCTCAACTTCACTTTTACTTTGTAGTCTTACCCCTAGGTCTGCAAAGGGCCCATCGTACAAAGCCAGCTGTGCAACTCGACACCTGTCCCTGTTTGCAAGCGTCTGAGGTGTGCTGTACCCTCCTCTCAGTGCGTTCTCCTCAGCGATCAGAGCTTCCAGCTCTGGTGTGGCTCCTCCTGTTACCAGTGTCCGTATCAGCGTGAGGATATTGTCATTGAAGTATGTCTGTGGAGATAAAATAAAGCTCTTTAGGCGAACACCATTACAGTCACAACGAAAGACATCCAAATTACAACTTTTCTGGGTTTCTGCTGTTTAAAGTTCTCAGCTGTCTCTTCACATAATTTTCTATAGAAAGTGAAAAGACAGCCGCCTCCAATTACTCTATTTTCTACTATCCCATTAGGCCTCAACACTACAGCGTGCCTTTTGAACACCAATTCAGTCTGATGTTTATTAAAGAACAAAAATTTGAATGATTTATGTTTCCTATAATTGGCATTAGTGGCAATGCACTGACCGCTTTCCCTCTCATCACCTTCATGTCTACTAAGTACAAGCTGGAGATGCGTCACTGTAACATGCAGACCACATGTCAGGCTTGCGCAGCCTAGATTGCCTTTTTAGGCTTGTCACTGATTCGTCTGGGAGATTCCTTTGTGCCACAAATGTCATTGCTTATTACCATGGCTGGACTCTAGCAGTCTAACCAATGCGTTGCACTAAACATCTTATTACGAGACTTGACAGCATGCAGACATAAGCACGTATCAATTAAACATTTTGAGTTCATTCCAGATAAATGTATGATGAGTCTGGGATCCTGGTGGTCCTTTTAAAAAACTCTAGGGTATAGGGTTAATGTGGTTTATTAGAGAAGATTTACTCCACGCTGACATTTTGCCAGCCTCCAAAGTGTCACTGGTCTGTCAGGCAAACAATGGGCTTCTAAAATATTAATTCGATGCCAGACATATAACTCTCAAGTTCATTGAAAAGAAGTAGACTGCTCTAGTTCAAATACATCTGGTTAAATAACTGCAATAGACAATGATGCATATCCCACAATACGGACCATTTCACAAAATGCACAAAAGTAGAGACCACCAAAAGAGCAGGTATTATGACTGCCAACCCTATTAATTTTTTATATTTTCTGAAGCTGTGCAAACCATGTTGTGAGACAGATTAAAATTCTATACAAGACTGGAGAGCAAAAGCTTGCTTTCCTTTCTTTCTGACCCTTGGCTTCAACCACTGGAGTTAACTAGGCCATACCAAAATTATATCTGCATTAACAGTGCACTCTCAAACAACTGTTACAAGCCAGAATGTTCAATGCCCCTGATAGAACTTGCTGGCAATAAGTGCATTTGACACAGGGGGAACTGAGGCATGGGAATAAAGCAACTTGCCCAACATCAGAAAGCAAGGCTGGTTCCCTCTCATTACCTTGACTTCTCTTGTTGAATGTCATTTTAGTTTCATTGTTCATTTGTTATGGCAATCATGCAGAAAGGGGGAAAAGCTTTTAATTAACTGTGAATGTTTTTATTATTACAAGTTTTGCTTCCATGACTTCAAGGTCTACTGTTTTACATCCTTCTAAATTAAAAAAAAAAATCTAGATAAATACAATCAATCTAGTGACAGAATTTATCTGTCTAGTAGAAGGAATCATATTCACCACAGAATTGCTGTTTTGATCGTTACATACACAAATATTTCTACTGCAGTTTCAGCATGCTCAAAATTTGCTTTTTTAAAAGTTTTCTTTTCAACTACATGTACTTGTGTACCCAGTGGATCAGAACTGTCCCAAGATTCAGGGCATTTAATAATGTCAATAATGTTATGGGAGGATGTATATAACAAAGCATTCAAAGGGCAGCCATGACAAGGAAGGGGAGGTATTTGGTTTATGATCTTTTTCAAGGGAGTACAATTATGAATCATCAGAAGCAAAAGACAACAAAGTATCCAGGCTACTGGGTGATGCTTGACCCAGGGGAGAAATCAAGCTACTGGTATTAGTATTATAAGGAAAATGGTTGAAGCCCCATTATTTTAGTTTAGTGGCTCTTAGTCTGCATCCCTCACTAGACTCAAAGCACCATTTCTAAAAATGCCAGTTCTTAGTTTCCCCCCCAAAATCGTGATTATAAGTAAAAGTGCAATTCTGTTGTTAAGAACTAAAGACCACAACAGGTCAGAATGCTTATACCACTTGTTTGAAATATCTGGTTTATCTTGCAAATCATGTTTACACAACTAGTAGTTATAACATTGCGGGGTAGCCTGTGGCAACCCAGGGTGCTGCACCACTGTGTCTGAGAACCATTGTTTTAGACATTTAAAGCTAGACTGGATAAAGCACCAGACTATCTAGTGTATGAAACAGCTCCTCCTTGGCTGGGGTAGAAAATGAATTAGGTGACTTACAGCAATAGGGATTTATCAGCAGACACTTCTTTGTTTCTGCCTTTGCTTTGTGTATCACTGTGGTTTTTTCATAGGGGACGGAAAGATTAGCGTAATACCAGTTAGAATAAATGTAAATGAGAAGTGGATCTATTATGATTCAGTTGAGTAATATCACCAGTACCAAACCAGTATGAGAAAAAAGACAGCCTGGCCTTTGCCAAGATTTCCCACTGACCTTCCCTCTTTCAGTTACTTACCCACACTGATATCAGTGAGCTAGGGAATCATGTTCAACCCCTGCCAATACACCACTTTTTCCACTGTGGGAATTCTTTAGAAGCATCCGTTTAGAGTTTAAATTTCTTTCTAGGCCTGTGTCAGTTATTTGCAAGTTTAACGACACAATCAACCCAATTGGCTCTCGTACATAAAGCAAATGATCTCTCTCAGGCACGAAGTCCAGAGATACTAAGCCAAGGTTTACACTGATGTAGAAGTGAATGCAGTTGCAGAAGCACCATCCTGTCAGCGAGTCTGTGAGCATGCAGGTCAGTACATTCTGTAGAGCAATCTAGGTACACGCAATCTAGATAACTGTGTATTGTTATATTTTGAATATTTTTTCTTACAATATATATACATATGTATCCATTGGCTAGCCTTTTATTTACAGTTCATTGTTCCCTTTTTCCCCCATCTGGTAATATTTACCAGTATTGATTGGTACTAGTCTCTCTTTTATATTCTATATTTCTCTTATTTCCAATCAATAACATATTGGAGCATTACACAAAGACCATGGACAGTTTTACTGGTACATGCTCCCAAGCTTGTTTATAATCTTATTAAAGCAGGCATGAGAAATATTCTGTTACTCTAAGTAAGACCACAAGATGCCTTAAGCTTGGCAAAATGACTTGTTTCATAGGCCTTTTAGCCAGGGAGTTATGGCAAAAAGAGAAAAGCTGGGTCTTTTTTCAGGTCAGCTTTTTAGTGGAAATTATTAGGTAGTCACCTCTCAACTCTATACCTCCTATAATGTAGCATTATAGCTATGATTGATGGAATCCAAGGCCTAGGACATACATTACTATCATTTTGCCAATGCACAATTATTCTCTATTGTAAATTTACTTGTGCATAACCAGAGAATTCACCACTGGAAACCTTAGCTGAGACTTCAACATTCATTTCACTCAAGAATTCATATGAAAACTGTGAGGTGGAAGTGAAGGTAAAAACAGAGAAAGAGAGAGGCACCTGTCACAAAATCATTAACACAAAAATGTATCAAATTAAGACACAAGAGCAGCATTCATACGTGCTTGGACGTTTGTTTCCCAGGGACAAGAAGCAGTGGCACACCTTGTGCTGCTGCTACTTGTCCCTGGGGGACACCCATGCCATGCACACTCTGGCACATAGTATGTTACCCTGGGTGGGGTAGGAGAGGGTCTGGGCCCAGTAGCCTTACTTGGGGCCCTGGGGCCTCCTAGGGCTGTAGCAACAGCAATCCTGCCACTTGGAGCCTGGTCAGCCAGGCTCCGGTTTTGGGTGGCATGAGCTGCCACCACATGCACGACTCTGGTTATGTTTTGCGCAGGTTTTCTTGACTACATCATTAGTACAATATAAACCGATCTAATGTGCCCCTACCTCCCTGCTCCATGATGCTACCTTGCAGCATGAAAAACAACTGAAGGTGCAGTATGTAGTGCTGCAAACATACTGCCTGGCTGCGCTCATCTGGACACAGCCAAGAGGCCCTCATCTGACCTCAGCCACAGAGGTGCAAACCAGGAGGTGTGGCAGCCTTACACTTACATAAACAAGAGGGGAGCCAGGCGTGCTGTCAATGGAAAAAAAATGCTGTTGCAAGAGAATGGTCTCCCACTGACAGACAAATGTCAAGGCAAAATTAAGACATTTATTTGCAAAGCAGGACACATTTATCTTGGAACAATGGCTCTATTTGGGTTTCACACCAAGAGAGTGATGTGGATGTCATCATTCCATCGGATGCATGAGTGGAACTGAGTGACAGTTTCTGTTCATGCTGCCATCCCTGAATGCAAACAATCTGCTTTTGCAAATGGACTGCTCTTGTACTGCCACCAATGGGAAAATGCCTTATCCTAAATATGAGACAGAATGATAGATTTTCCTCAAGAGGGAAATTTTGGATGGGTTAAAGGTATTCAATACTCATCAGGAAAAGACTGATTCTCCATGTTCTCTAGTTCCATGAAAATTAGTTCCTCCTCCATCAAATTTTGCCTCACATAACAGTGGGAGAGTGCTCAGCACTTCAGTGGATCAGGTTTGAAATTAAGGTAAAAATGGCCAAATTAAACCATCCATTTCCTTTAGAAGAGCAATGCTCTAAAATTAATGTGAGTGCTCTTTTAGTGGCTCTGTGGGAGGGTACATGTCCTGGATATGCCAGTACTTGTCAAAAAACATTCTGCTGAATGTTTTTAGAAAGGTGCTGTAGCACTTAATGTAACATGCTACTTTTCAGTAACAACAGCAAAGACCTTTTGTTTATTGCAAAATCCCTTCTTGTTGCTTCCACAAACTACACACGCACTGAGATATTAGTACAGAATCATTAAAAATTATGACCAGTATAAGAACATTTACTGGTTATAATGCTACATCAGATAAACGGAAATGCATCATAACCAGCGAAAACATGGGCCTGTGACAAAATCTATCCTAGATATCTGATCTAGCAGTGCCACCTAGCTCAAAGAGCTGAATTCCATGGCAGCTCTTTAACAGTGTATGTTTTGGGGCTG